CGGAAGAGATTCGAGGAGGCCGCCGCGTCCGAGTTACAGCAAGGCTGGGATCGTGGCAAGAAGAAGTCGAGCTTCGAGCTGGCTCGAGAAGCGGCGGAGATGGAGGCGCGTGAGAAACAGGTCCAAGAGCTTCTGGCGCGTCCCAGAGTCATGACCAAGACCGGCTCTGGCCAGATTGAAATGCAAGAAATCGATCTGAGCGAGTTGAACAGTTCCAGCAGGGATGTCTCTGGACACGCGACGGAAGATGAGGGAACGAGCATGCCACGCCGGTCAGTCGAGGTTCACGAGTTGTTTTCCAAAGGCTTTGGGGCCATTCGAAAGGGCCAGCTGAAATGATTGCTTTTGCTTCTTTCTTTTTCTTTCCGATTTTCTTCATTTCAGAGCGTCATGGCGTTGGCACCGTATACCCCGGGCTACTAGTCGGTCTATCGTTTGTTGGCTTTACTGTTATATACCATCCCTGCACTGTACATGAGCCTGAGATCAGTATATTCATACCCACTGTATTAACCGTGTCTCGATAGAATACGACGTCTACTGTGTCTTTCTACATGGAGTAATGGACAGAAGCTGTACCGAGCCCGTCAGAAGTTTTTGTAGACTACAATGGCGTAGTGTGTATCCCCTGCGGCTTGACCAATACTCCCCTCTTGCCGTTCCTCCCGTCTCACCCGCCGGCACCAAATACAGCACCAAATACCCGACGCAAGAAGCGCTACACCAATGATCGGAACGCCTATCATGATAAACCGCATAGTAGGCTCGCAGCCGGCATATCCGACCCCTCATAGCCCCTGTCGTACCTACCTAGTGGGATGCTGACACTTGCCATCCAGGCTGAGGCTAAGAATCTGATCGTCATTGGGGTAGTATAGATGGATACGCACAAGGAATAACTTAGAACCTGGGAGTGGGTGGGTGATGGAGGGGGTTTCTTTGCTTAAAATCCATGCCATCTACAGGGCTAATCAGATTACCTCGGCTGAAGTTCATTAACAGAGGTAACTGGTCAAGTTTCACTTCGCGCTTTGTTTAGTCATGATACTATGTACAGAACATACGTTATGCATCTTGGCAGTATCACCAGCTTATGCCGCCAATTGGTTGCATGTTAGTGAGACGTATCTCACTGTAAAGACTTGTCATTATCCTTGTGCCTGCCTCGTCAATCAAAGCCTTGACATCTACGACTAGCTCGAGCGGGAGCATATGACTTCTCCCAGCTGAAAGAAGGTCAACAACGGTTATGGGAACTTGAATGTCGATGTGAGCTTCGAGAAGTAGAAGCCTCTCTTCATGGACAGTCTAATGGCAAGGGCTGTCACCTTCCTCCTCGATGGAAATTTGCACCGTAACATTGAGCGTATGGATGACTACTACAGTGCCTCACATATGGCCTACCGGGACTACTGGTCAGAAAAAGAGACACCGAGACGATGACCATCGCCGAAATAGCTGCCTGCGAATCTGTCGTCGGAGTGGGGATGCCAGTATGAGGGATCAGTTGCTCATCGGTCAGTGGCTTATGTCCGCTAACATGTCGACAACACAATACTACGGTCTCCAGGTATCGCGCATCTACCGTCAAGCCCGGTCTTGTACACGGACCAGTTCAATTGAACCTCCCTCGGCGCAGAGCTGTACACTTTGAGCATTGACCTCAATTTATACTGATTAGTGAGAATTGTGGCATCAGCAAGCGCCGATCAACGTTTCTCCTACCCCATCATCGGCCCGAATAGCCAACTTAAACAGGTTGATGGGCATGACAGAGCCCTGGACGACATCATCTCTGCGAATGGGACTTCCTCGAGAATCCGCCGCCGAGCTCTCATCCTGAACGAGTCGAATCCTAAAGAACAGAAATGTTTTCAATAACGGCACGGTTCTAGAGAAGGGCATACCGGATCCAGACATTGATTTCACCTTGGGTAAGCTTGAGAACCTCGGCTGAAGTTCATTGTTAATAATGATCTCTTAGGCTGCGGATGCATGGCACCATGACTAAGGCAAGAAATGTGAAACTTGCAGGTGGTCTGCACATAAACTCAGATTGCGCACCGACAAAATCAAACTACCCACCTTTCTGGGTTCACACTTGAATAGAGCTCACTGTCTTTCCATCTGAGCAGGCTTCAACTGCCTGTTTAGAGTGGTCCAGTTCCTTGATTTTTCTGTGGCGGTAGGTCGTGGTGTGGTTGGTCCCTGTCCCAGAGTGGTCTAGCGGCTGGGGTCGATGGACTGCGATGCACTAGCAGCAGGTTGGACCAATGAGAATGTCAGCTATCGGAAAGAGGGCGCACGGATCGTCGATAGAGGAACCATGTGGTGGTGGTGGGGGGAGGTGAGTGTATGGTACCTTACAGAGTACGTGCCACCTCACTGAAGAAGATGTTTGAGTCTGTCACTTGATGTTTCTGATCTCCTTGCTGCTCGCATCAGTTGTAGGATCCTGAGACGCTGCACGGAGTAGTTTTATGTGCACAGGCTCTGTGACCTAAAGGTATCCCTATGGACGGCGTTATCTAAGTGACAGGGAACCATCGTACAGTACTAACCACGAGACATTACCGGATAGGCTGCACCCCCACAGCAGAACACCCAATCGAAAGTGTTGGGTACCTTACTATTTGGCGCTGACACTACAATTATGTCCAATGAGCGCTGTGGCTGCTTGCTGGCTGGGTTAGGGAGGGCGGGTACCTGGATCGAAAACTCGGAAACGTGTCAATTGATTTCAACGATTTAGTCCCTTCCCGGCAAGGACGGGCTTACTCAGGTTCTGGTCAGCAAATCTTATGCCTCACTCCAAATCCTGTCGTCTTTAGGTTCGGGGTACTATCAATAGAAGTATAGAACTGAGAAACAAGGTTGGGTTCAAAGACAAAAATTTTCCGTCCTGGAAACTCTGTCCAGTGGCAAGACAAACCTGAAACCAGATACTTCGTAAGTCGGTTAGTGGTTGCATTGAAAACCGGCAAACTGTAACAACCAGCACGGCGGTAGTCTTCCGGATCTTGATGTTTAGAATAGGACCTTGCTTAGTACCGTTAGGGTCTTGGAGGTCGGAAATAGTCAAGTGGCTGCTCCACTGATCAGATCCTGGTAAAATCCTTCTGTCGTGATGTCGTCGTCCGGATCTGATTTTTCTTTTTCTTTTTTTTCCTTTTTTCTTATTCTGATTTTCTTTCCTTTTCTGCAGCTGGTACCGCTATGGACTAGGGTACGGAGTAATCGGTGCTACGTGTACATAACTGATGATAATACCGCGAACTCCGAGCGTCTCTTGTTTCCAACGCCTCACGACAACGTGTTTCTACGCACCAGATGAAGGAGTGGCCCGACCCGTTGTTGTACAGACTACAATGCACCACGTTGGGTGCTGGACTGTACTTTGATGTATTTCATCGTACTCCTTGGATCATCAACCTCCAGAGTTGTGATACTGATGACAACAAGCCGGAGTCCAAGAATAGACCGCTGTCTACCATTCGTATGTGAATGCAGGCTAGTTTCTCTAGTCGGAGTTACTATCGATACGGGGTACTATTATCAGAACTTCGGGGGTAGCTGGCATTGTAGGACTAGTAGAGACTACCTCCGTACTAGGGCGACAGATACGGAGTCACCCCTCTACTTATGCGTCATAAAAAGCATTGGGCAGCAGATGCAGTTCCCGATGCAGGGGCCAAACCACATTCAAGATGGTAACAGGCTATTTGTGACGCCCCCTACTCAAAGCGACCGCCATCCCGACTTTATCCTTTTCTTTCTGTGGTACGGTACGGAGAAGCCCAGAGCTCCAGGCCTAACAGATGCAGCAATGGGTCATGAATCGAAGAATCGGACCCGAGATCGTAATAATAGATGATATATCCGATCGCTGGTAGGAAAGGGATATCCCTGTGGACATTAAACATCAATCCCAGACGATCAGAGACCAGCCTGCGATCTGCCAACCGTCAATACGCATGGGATGATGGGATCCTTCGCTCCCGGCGTCTAGAAAGTACCTGAAAAGGGAAGGAGGAAAAAAAATTACATGGCGGTTACCGTCTCACTCTGGATGTACACAGCAGGCACGCATAATAGTGACCGCAAAATACCTCCACTTGCACTTAACCGACAGTAACTCTGTACCTGGCCTGTATCTGTAATAATAAAAGTCAGGAACAGCCGTGCCAGCCAGCCCCACTAGGCCCCTTTAGGCAATTCCCATCTCCTGACTGTGGTCAACCTCAGGCACTAAAACTTGTCCTTGCCTAGACTCTCTCTGCTCTGGGGCTCCCTCAGTCGTTTGTTTCCCTCGTCTCTCACTCGTTCATTCTTCCTCTCCTCTCTCCCTCTTCCTTCCCCCAGTCATCTGTCAGCCTTCCTTTTTCCTTTCCCTCCCACTCTCTCTTTTTTTACACTTCACTCTTTCGTTTCTTCCATTTCTTTCACTCTGTTGAGTCCACTCTTTTCTCTTCCAACCTCTTTTATTGACTTTCCTGGTCGTTCGTTGCACTCCTTTACGACGGCCTTGGAATCCGCTCTCTTCGTCCATATCCTCGGATTGTCATCTCCCTACGCTCCTTTATCGTGCTGACAATTCCATCCAAGATATCCGCCCTGTCGCGAAGATTTCAGGATTCCTTTGATCATTATAAGCTGCTTGGCCAGCTCTCCTTTTTTGACAGCCCCATTTCTCGCCGTCCAGCTTGACGCTTCTGCGACGCGATCATCTATACCATTTATCTAGGCTTGTGGTCTTGGAAACAATTCGGCCCTGATTCCGATTACTCCCATACCATTGCCTTTTCTTGAATCATCTTGAATCCTCTCGCGCTTGACGCTGCTTTGAGAGACTCGAAAGAAGACATATTTGCCTCTCTTTTTTCTACCGTGTCGGCCGGATCGTCATATTTCTCCCTACCCGTCCCTTGAAACCATCGGACAAAATTGGTTATATCTCATTTCTCTCAAATCTATATACTTCGAGTTATACTCTGCAAACAATGTCTTCGACAGACACGTCCGACCCTTCGACTATGTCGATAACGGCGAACACGGCTTCGTCATCTTCGGCCGCTTCGACCCCTTCTCCCTCCAACTCCAGTGTTACCACGGCTCGTTCAACATCGGCATCGCGCCGTCCGCCCCGGAAGAGCACTCTGACCCAACAGCAGAAGAACAATAAGCGACAACGGGCAACCCAGGATCAGCTAGTCACTCTGGAAGTTGAGTTCAACAAGAACCCTACTCCCACGGCAGCCACGCGCGAGCGGATCGCTCAGGAGATCAACATGACTGAGCGTTCGGTTCAGATCTGGTTCCAGAACAGGTTGGTGGGAGATAGATCCGCCCTTGTTTGATTGTTTGCACTAACCGCGACCACAGACGAGCCAAGATTAAGATGCTCGCGAAAAAGAGTATTGAAACCGGCGAAGGCTGTGATTCAATTCCCGAGTCGATGAGACAGTATCTGGCGATGCAATTCGATCCTAGCAAAGCGGGTGCGAGAGACCCATTCGGGCGTACAGGTGCTTATGGAACCAATGGTGCTTACCCAAACGAGTCTGCACCCTCAGGGAAAGTCGGTGAGTTCAAACTAAATCATCTCGCTTTGTAGCGATTGCTGATGAAGCCAAGTCATTCATCACTTCACCTGTCGTTCCTTGACCATTGGAAGCTGGCGGCGCATCGGGCAAAACGCTATGGATCTGGTTGTCTTCTACTCCCCCGAAAAGGCGTGCATGACTTATTACATCAATAACGATTCTGCCGGATACAAAATCGAGTACCCCTTTTCCTACATCAAGAACATCACGCTCGAGTCGGGTGATCCCAATGCCCAGTCCAACGGGGCTCCCACCAGGCCCGCTGGCCTCCTCGTGGAACTCAATCGACCTCCGTTGTTCTACATGGATTCGTCGAACTCGGGTGGCTTCTATCAATGTGGTGATTTTACGGAGGATCAGCAAGCGAGCCAGATCCTGGTGCACCATCTGGGAGGTCATCCCAAGGTTCTGAGTGTCCAGTTGGCCAAGTTAGTGTCGCTGGAGTCTTTCCAAAACCGTCTGGCATACAGCAACCTTGCGATGGCACCGCCAATGTCGCCTCATTTCATTCAGCGCCCTGCCTCCCAGCCGAACCAATTCGCGCCGGCATTCATGAACATGTATCAGGATCAGTCGACCCTGAACGTTCCAGTCGCGCGTGGTCACAAGCGGCAAAGGAGTCGTTCCGTTCCAGTTGCTGTTGACTTCTCTGCCATGCAGATGTCTCACTTCCCGTCTTACACCATGTCCCAGACTCCGGCCCCATACCATAACGCGGACTCGGGTATTTATGCGCCTGTCCCTCAGTCGGCTCAACCGTTAGCCCTGAATCTGCGCATCGACACCTCCCCCTCGTATGGTTTCGATCCTCGGGGCCATCCTATGTCTGCTACGACCACCGGCTCTCCTTCCGACTTTGCGAGCCCGTCCATCTTCGCCACCAGTGCGACCGGTGAGTCTACGCCGGTCGCTACGCACATGGGCGGCCCTTCATTTAGCCTGCCTTTTGGGGCGCCTTCGGTGGATTCGTCCAACATGGGGCATGCAGTTTCTTCCTACTCGAATGTCAGCCATGCCGATCCTATGATCGCTGAACATTCGCCTCCCTTGTCGAACATGGCGCATACCCCGCAGGATATGTACGCCCTGGGAACCGAGCAGCAGGCCAATTTTGCAGATGATGGGATGGTTATGAACGACATGTTCGTGAAGCAGAGCATGGATTATTCTGTCCCCACTACCATGGGACTTGAAGGGAACACATTCGAGCTGCCCATGCAGACCTTGTCTGGCCAAACTTCGCCACTGCTTGCAACCGACTATCAAAGCATGGAGGGTGTTGATCTCAACTCATTGGCTCCGAGATCATGAGCACCCTACCCCAGGTTGTTCTTTCATACCCTATCTGAAATGACTCTGCTGTCGTCCTCTCCACCTTATAGTAACTCAAGCAACGAGGTGGCTATTCTTCTCAAGCCTCTATGAGTTTTACCAGGGTTGGCCATGCTTCCAATGCCCCAGGGGCATTGGATGGACTGTCAATATGACATCCCGGTAGGATGGCAGAAATGCTGTCTTCCTCAAACTGCAACTTGGCGTCTCTCGGCCCTCGGTGCAGGTGAATAAATGCTTATATCGTCACATTTTTCGATATTCGCCGCCGATACCTTTCCCCTTCTTTTTCATCTCTTCTTTTTTCTCTTCTGTATTTATACCCTTCTATCTTGCGGCTGGTCCTGACTCCTTTTGACACTTCGTGTTCTTGATGTTTCCCAACAATTTCTGTTGATTTTCTTCCCTACTATCCCTGTCCATTTTTACTTCTTGATTTCATTTTTGACCATGGCCAGGGTCATTTAACGTGGTTATGCCGGGAAGTGAGCAAAATGGGCGATATCTGCTGGGAATTTTTACTTTCATCGTTTTTGGTCTTCTCCGGGTCGGCGGGTCAGGAATTGTTTGCATTTTTACTTTGTGATGGTGTGATTCTTTTGGGATTCTTGAGCTTGAGTCTCCTACTCTTTGTTCCTTTTGACTTTGATTGATCATTTCCACATGTATGCGCTTGGGTAACTTGGCCGATCCCTAGCCAGCTGTCACGCCAAACCGCTGGGATTCTTTTTCGCGAGAAATGTTGCGCAGGCGGCTGGTCGGTTGCCAGGAAAACGGCAGACAAGATCCTGCCCGGCTTCAGGGCCAATCTATCTTAGGACCACAACCAAGAATGGCATGCATGTTGTGTACAGTGTCTGTTAGACTTGGAGGCACAAGGCCTCTTGAGTATATCTACATATAGCTAGTAAAAGCGGGTATCAAATGAATATAGTACAAGTGATGAGGGGAGCTTCTCTACTGGCTCTCCCATCCCCTTGGCAGCGGCGCCCTCAGTCCTCGAGATTCCCTCAGATATTTCTCAATCCAAATCTCCATCCTCTCGAGGATATTCATATTCGGCCTCCCCTTGTTCGGATCGACGTCTTCGTACACCCCATCACGACACCAGACGCTCCAAGAACCCATCATGGCCGCCATCAGCACATCCGTCCCCAGCCGATCCCCGACAACCGCAATCTCATCCGCGCGCGTCACCACCCCGCGCTTCCGAAACCAATCCACTACCTCCTTCCCACAGAACGGCTTCTTCTCACTGCCCTCGGGCAATCGGAAGACCGGAATCCGCAGGGAGGACAACCGCTCCTCGATCTCTCGCACCTCGGCGTCAAAGCGCGGATGGCTCCCTGCACGGTTGGAGACAATGAGGATCGAGTCGGGGGCTGTGGACTGGTTGAAGGGCGAGGTGCGCGAGGTGCGCAGCGCGGAGAGCTTGTCTAGGATCTGGGGAGGGAAGGTGGTTGTCTTGGGCGGGCAGAGGGTGTTGTCTTTGTCGAGGACGAGGGCGCGGATTGTAGGTGATTTCGATGCTGCTGCTGCTGCTGGCGCGGGTTTTTCGCCTGGAGGTTGTCTGTGTAGATGCGGACCGAGTTGTTCGGGGAGGTGGATGAAGGTTGGGATTGTGAGGTGAGGGAGGAACTGCGAGGAGTTCCGGAGGAGGGTTTGTACTGCGTGGTTGAAGCCGCGGAGGTTGGTGTTGGGTGTGCTGGCCATTTTTCTTTTTTCACTGCAGTTGAAGGTGTTGTGTATGTATATGGAGGATGAGCGAGTTGGAGACAATTGAATGAGTGGGCTGAAAGTGGTGAAAGTAGAGAGTGAAAGTGGTTGTAATTATGTGCTCATGATTGAGGAAAGGTATCAATGAGGACAGTCCATGTTATATACTTGAGGTTGTTGATGAAGATGAAGGTGAAGATGAAGATCTACAAGTGATACGGAGAAAGTAACGGCAGAGCCGCACAAGTAGGGAACTCTCCGCCTTGACTGGACCTCCGCTAGCTTCAACCCGCTCAACTCAGTTCATCGGCGCCGCATTCTTTCTCTTCATTGGACTCAGGATTTTCCTGTCTTAGAGAACCGTCAGCTCGAATTACGGAACAAGAAAAGCACTTGTTTTGTCTCAGTTCCGCTCAATCCATTCTCCTTCTCGCGCCGACCGTCCACGTTTTTTCGCGTAACTTTGCTCGAATCGCATCCGATCCTTCAACATGGGCAAATTGACCAGCACCATCGGTATCCCCATCAAGCTCTTGAATGAAGCTCAGGTTTGCTTGACTCTACTGTCTGTATACAGAATAATGGACTCAAGCTGATTTGCAATTGCAGGGCCACGTCGTAACGCTGGAGATTACTTCGGGGGTGGTGTATCGAGGAAAGCTCTTGGAGGGTTCGTCGCGCGTGACAATCAGCCCGGTGGTTTCAAGATAATGCTGACGCTTTTGCCCAGCTGAGGATAACATGAACGTCCAGCTCAAGGATATCACAGTCACCGCTCGTGATGGTCGCGTGTCGCACCTGGACCAGGTCTACATTCGCGGAAGCCACGTCAAGTTCTTCATCGTCCCGGATATGCTGAGGTATTTGCATCTCTACTGTTTATGTGGTTTACGTACTGACGTTTGCAGAAACGCACCCATGTTCCGTTCGCGTGGCCAGCGCGGTAGAGGTGTCGGTCTTGCTCGTGGTAAGGCGACGGTGCAGCGGGCTCGGGGACAACGGAGGGGTTGATCTGGTGGATTTTTTTCGTTGGCGTTTCCTTTTTCTGTGTGGTTTTTCGTCATTCCTAATGGTACTTATGTGGGATTGAAAAATGTGATTCCTTGAGAAGACCGGTTTCGGGGCGATGCCCTGCGATAACAGATTTTCACTTATGGGTTCTCTTACGATGTGCAATTGTATGTCCTGCTGGAGGGAGAATTGGAGCCGGTGGAAGATGCGTACTGCGAGATATGCAGATGTCAAATACCATCTTGAATTGCACCGTCGTGGCGATTACCCGGCCTGAACAAATAAAGCTTCTCTCGATGTCTTGCTAATAGCCGCAATTCTGATTTGACTACTCTCCAAACATGCCCTGGTGCTCCGTAGATAATCCAACACTCCGAAATCTTCTCCGCCAAGTTCCCCGCAACAAACCACATTCTCCAATCCACATGGCAGCAGAGCAAGCAGTACCAAGTCCCTGAACAATTCGAAATAGACCAAATATCAGTGACAGCCCTCTCATCCAGCGCAGCCGACCCAACCCTCCACCGAAATGGCCTCCTCACCCCACCCCAACTCCGCAAGCCAAAGCAAGACCACCACCACCGCACCGCAAATCCGCAACCCACGCCGTCTCCTCATCCTCTCCCCAAGCTCCCACTCGACCTCAACGATCCCATCGCTCCTGCACTCCCTAACAGAAACCCCAGTCGCTGACCCCCCGGCCTCCTTCGCAGGGTACACCACCCACCCGCCCCTCCGCCTCACAAACAGGTACTACACCGCCGACATCCCGATATGGGTCGACGAAATCCCTCTCCCTGCGGCGGCAGATGAACACGCGCACACGGAGACAGAAACGCAAACGCAAACACATACAGAGGGAGAAGGGAAAGGCGCGCCCCCGCCCTCGCCCTCTCCCGCGCAATGGGCGGTCGAGTTCTCGGGCGCAGGTGCACGGGTTGTCCGCGACGCGATCGGGGCGCTGGTGATTTGTATTAAGAATCTGGAGGATACGAGTGCGAGTTTGCCTGCGGGTACGGGCACGGATGCAGGTGCAGGTACAGGTACACCCGAGTCCCGAGACGATGTGAAAAGCCTCAAAGAGTTTCTTTATGCTGTTGGACGGGTCAAGGGGGTGATTGAGGAGGAGCGCGGGGAGGTCGGGGATGTCCCTGTGCTGCTGGTATTAGTAGGAGAGGGCCATAAAGATGCGCGGCTGCGCGGCGAGGACGGCGATTTGGAGGAGTTGGATGCGAGCGATGAGCCGTTTTCTGTTGGGTGGTGGGAGGATCAGCTGTTTGAGATGGGGATGGTGGGGGTGGAGGTGCTCGCGTGGGATCCGAAGGGGGAGGAGGGGGATCAGCGGAATGTCTACGGGGGTTTGTCTTTCTTCTGTGATTATTGTTGATGGCAGGGTGGACTGATTGCTGTGACAGAATACCAGGGTATGCGCCGCATTAGGGAGATCCTCGAGACGCATGACTGGGCCGCGCCGTCTGAGGATGCGGATCCCGGTGGATTCAGCGAGGATGGTCTTGAGGAGCATCTTCTCGGATTGGATCGTGGGGAGAACGGGTTCGATCTTGAAGTCAACGAGCTGGAACGCGAGATGCTGGGTTTGCGGATGGCGATTGAGCATGGGGGTGATGATGTGGATGGTCAGGATGAGGATGAGGAAGACGACGATGCACTCAAGGTCGAGTCTTTGGAGGCTTTGATGATGCGGATGCAAGCTATCAGAGGTATGTCTTTGCACCAGGGAAAGTAAATTCGAAGGCTAATAGACCAGACATGAGTTCCGAGTTACCGGAGTGTGAGCGCAAGAAATTTGCTGCCAAAGCTGTACGAGATATCATGAAAGAACTATAGATCCATGTTACGACAATATAAAAATTCTAAGCTATAGCGAAAATGGATATAGCCAAGTCGTTGGCCTTCCATAATTGATTACATAGATGTACATCATGACAACTCCGTCACCCCAGGTATTCTTACAGCAACCTTAAGATCTGACACTTACTCGGCTCTTCCCTTCTTCTTCATCACCCTGCGCCTCTGCGCAATCATGTGCGTATAGAGAATGTACGAGCCTGAAGAAGAGAGTCAGCGGCTGCTCGCGCATTTTCCCCAAAAAACCAACATACCGGGAACATAGATGACAAGCACCACCACCAAGAACCACCAGTAAAGAGGGTTCCATTCTGCAGCGGGCTTCAGAGCCTTCCAAACCATGATGCACTCACTGCTGATACCAATTGGGTAGAGCACATAGAAGGTATTATACCTGCTATCGTCAGCAAGCACATATATACAACGAGACAGGAAGAAAATACCTCAACCAAGTCCACCAACTCGGCACACCAGTGCCCCAAACCTGCAACGCAAAGAACCCATACCGGATACACTCGGTGATGCCCCACGCCGCCAGACATCCCAGGAACGCATAATCGCCCACCTTGGCGCCAGGCCCATACGGCAATGACTCGTGGAAATCTCCGCCGACGATGCCGCCGTGCCCATCCCCGCGGTCGTGGAAGAGATACATCACGCCCCAGACCAGGAGCAGGCGGCTGGCGACCTGCATGGCGGTTGTCATGACGGGGGCGCGCACGATGCCCAGCAGACTGTGCAGGATCTCGAGGCCCGCGAGCGTCTGGGTCGTTGTGAGCAGCGGGGAGTAGATGTGGTGGAAGATGGCGGGGAGGTGGCCGCTAGGCGCGAGCGAGAGGACTAGCATTGCGCCGCGGATGACGCAGGTGGCCCAGAGACAGAAGCTGATGGCATTGTAGGCGAGGAGATAGACGCGAGTAAGGCCTGAGGCCGAGGCCCTAGGAGCCGATGAGGCTCTTGTGGTAGACTGGGACATTATCACGTACTCCTTTTCGCGTGTCAGTAGATGTGCTGTTTGCTGGGGCCGCAGGGGAAGGGAAACCGGTAAGCTTCGAAAAGGGGCAGATGTTCAGCAGAGGTAAAACTCACAATTTATGATAAATTAACTTGTCAATTGACTGGTGGACGTAACACCGGAGCTTGTGAAGGTGGTTATTTTGGTTGATTTGATGGGAAGATGGTTGTTGATTATGTAATAAGCCTGATCAGATCGATCCTCGGATGCAACAAGTTACAAGATAGAACTCCATAACTCATGCGCTCCATGTGCGATTTCTTCAATATACGGAGACGATGTTCGACATCATCGATCTATCTTGATACAAAGCACGTCATGTTGCTCCTGAACAATGGCAGTAGATAACGAGGTCACCCTTAGGCAGAGACATGAATTGTTTAAGCTGCATCTGTTGTACGATATCAAAGATAGCAGTTTGCGGAGGACACCGCTTTCATGTTGACTGACGCTAAGAACAGATGAAGACTTTTTTGACTTTTGTCATCCGACAAAGTTTCCAGCCATGCGGTCTGATGTCATGTAAACAAAGTACCTAATTTACGTGGTGAGGTGTTTTGAGTACCAACTGTATGCTAGTCAGGCCGATCAGGGTGTCCACACTGTGGTCAATAGTCGTAGAATGTCCTACACCGAGTATCTAGATAACAGTGCATCCCTGAGACAGTAGGCAGGAACTGTCTATCCGTCTTTCACTCTCAGCTGTCCATTCTCCCCTTTTTACCATGCTATTCAAGATTGCCAGTCTCTCTGACAGTCCGTCCATGCCTATTTTCCATATCAGTCACCTCTTAATAATAATAGTAGTGAATAGATATATGCTGTAGGCCCCTCTTCATACTTACAGCCGAGAGGGCCCGAGCTTCAGCGAGCCTTGGCAATGACCCCCCTAACGTCATAGGCGAGCCAAAATTCCCGAATTGGCCGTTTGTCTTCTCCAAACTTCGGATCAAACCCACTATGATGTCATTTTTGCGCCTTTTCTCGGATATGATTGGATGGAAGTCACAGCCAGGGACGGACTGACCAACAGCGGTCGAGTTCATCACCCTCGAATGTCGAAAATGGCTGAAGCCACGATGGGGAGAGAAAATGTCAAGTTCCTTGTCCACCTCGACGGGGAGGAGATATAAAGCCACATAATGCCTCTCGACTAGATCTGGCGAAGGAGGAGCAAGAAAGATGGTGCGAGGTAACTCGATCAGGAGCCTCAATATCTTCATCTGGTGTCGATGCGAAGCCCACCAAGGCTGTGGAATGGTACCGAGACTGTCGCTTGGGTATTCCACTTGGACGGGTTATCCGTTTCTGTTTTAGTCTGTCAAACCCCGCTGGCTTCTCTTTGGCAAGAACACAGGTAGGGTGAGCACCAAGAAAACGCAGGGCTTGTCGTTCTTTGGGCTTCTTCTTACTCTGGATGTTTGCTTGTCCGGTACGTACTATATCTGGGACGGTTCCTGAGGGCCCAGAACAGCCCATGGCCTGAGATGGTGCCGGTTGTGATGTCAGACAGCCGAGAAAGACGGATTCCGCTGGATGCGAAACTCATTCGGAAAGGGTTCACTCGTCACTGGACTAACGGATCGACAAAAAGCAGCATGTTGATGTGGCCAGGGTCGGGGGGAAACGAGGACTTGCGAGGAATTTCGGTGATGATGTCGCAGTGGATCGAACCTGCCCCTCCGCCAGCCAGTGAACCTAACACAACCGCATCGCCAATAAGAGGCTGACGGGCTGACACCCTACGTCAGTCCGTAGTGCGATGATCTCAACGTGCATCTCCAGCGAAAAAGTGGGGATGAACTCTGTGAGAGAACAGTTACAGAACATGAAAATTTATCTTTAGATTCTTAAAGGCTATTGCTGAGGCTACCCAGAGATTCAACTTTTTGATGGAGATTGCATTCTCACGAGGTCATAAAATGACGCCAGATGAAGCTAAGTAGATTCCCCAAGTCCTCGTCGTGAAGATGGATGGAGGGGGATCCGGAGTATCAGAGGAACGACTATTCCTTTTGTCTCTTGTCGCTGTCGGTTGACCCCATTTATTAGCCTTTTTGGATTATCCTCCCGACAGTAAGGTAGGTATTATTATTATTATTATCGAAATATCTTCTTTTTTTATTATTCCTCTACCTGAATGCAACTACTCGAGTCTTGAGGGCATTCACAACTAAGAAGTTCCTCCTTCTTCCTACGTTGCGGATATTCTAGTATTTTTCTGAAATCCTCCCTGTCCACAGCTCATCGACCAAGACACGAGTCTCGTCTCTGGCTGCACCTGTCAATCGAACATAAGTCTGTCTCGCTGATCCAAGGGCTACGTTAGTCTATCTCGTCTTGTCCCCGCCGCTCACCAAAAGGAAAAAAGATAGCCCACCCACAATTTTGCCCCTCCACACAACTTAACTCTCTTGTAGTCTCCTCTTTTGAGTCTTGACCTCTACAAGCGCGCCAAACAGAAGCGTTAAAACGGAAGAAAAAGGGGAAAAAAGGAATTGTCAAAAATATTACGGATAGGTCGTTGAAGGTAAAAGAAACACTGTCACGCTTTTCTTTTCTCCAGTCAAACAATCAATCAGTCTCATTCCACCTTGAACTGCTTGTGCTCTTGCTTTTTCCTTGCGCTCTGATTCCTGCGCGCTGTCGAATCTCTAATCTGCAATCCTTTCTTTCGGCTTCTGTTACGGTGACTGACTCCTCAGTGGGTGGTTTGGTAGCAAATCATATACTCTCTAGACTGCAGACAGATCTCTTTGACCCTCACTGTCTGTCATCACCATCAACGGCATCATCATCGTCATTTTCTACTACCACAACAACAATAATACCAAGACAAGGTGGGATACCCCAATACCTACTACCCCTCCTCTTCCTCCTCCTCTCATCCTCTGCTCCTCTCCTGTCCTGTCATCAAATCAGTCCTCTCAGTCCAGACAGCTGTACTTCTTTTCTTTTCTTTCCTTTGTCAGCTACTATGATCTGTTCCTCTCAACCCATGTGGACCCCTTCCCCTTTAGGCTCCGTCTAGGTTGTCTGTGTGGTTTGGTTTCGGGTCATCCCCTCGTCCCCTCCAGCTGCTGCTCCTCGTCATGTCCTAAACTGCCTGTTAATCTAATACTCCCGCCCCATACATCCCTCCCTTTTCGTCGGTCTCCCCCAAGCCTCTTCTGTCCGCATTAATACCGGATGTTCCTCCTGTGACCCCTAAACCAACTTCCGATCCCTGTGACCACGCGCCTGTCGTGGCGCCCTGTTAAGCTACTTTTTGTCCCTGAAGTCTTTGTGCTCGATCGGTTCCACCTTGGAAACAACCCCGCTACATCCTGTGGCCTCAGCAACCAACAGGAAGGAAACGTACCGGAGGTGATTCTCCCTGATTCCCCTACCCCTCGTCCATCAGCCCCCATCATGTTGAGCCTCCTGACCACCCTCCCCTGTTGATTGTATATCTCTTCCCTCCCGACTGTCTGGACTGTCATAGCCCCTCGACCCAGTAACCTTCTCACTGCGTAGGGCGGCTACCCGTGGCGGTCGAGTCTCAAGCGCTGAGCGCCTGTTGCTTGATATTGCCGTAATCTCGCCCTTGAAACTCTCGAGAAGCATGAAACAAGTGACTTGGCGCTTGAACTAACCGTTTTGCACAGTGTAGATCGAATCGGTTTCCAAGATCGTGCTTTGAAGAGCCACATACGCCACGAAGAGGAGAAAGGTACAGCAAGGCGCCAACTTGAACGAGTCTTTCTTGATCCATCTTTCGCTCATCTGCTGGAGGAACAGCCCTAAGCATCACATACTCACAAACATGGCTCCTACAACCACTACCAAGACTAAGGCCGTTGAGGACCCTGTATGTTACTACCACTGACCATCGTAACTGTTTTTGAGTGGACACTGACATCTCGACAGCCCAAGGAGACTCCTCCCAAGAAGCTTTCAGAGATGGGCGAAGTCATCGACAAGGCCACTTTCGACCAGATTCTGGAGATGGACGACGATGAAGACATGGACTTCAGCAAGGGCATTGTGTATGGATTCTTCGATCAAGCCGAAACCACGTTCGAGAAGATGGACAAGGCTTTGTAAGTGCTCGTTGCTCCGTATTGACCCTCCAGTTAGACTGACATTCGACATCACAGAGAGGACAAGGACCTAGATGAGCTTTCTTCGCTTGGACATTTCCTAAAAGGATCGTCAGCGACTCTGGGTTTGAAGAAGGTCAAAGATCACTGCGAAAAGATCCAGCATTACGGTGCTGGTAAAGATGAGACCGGCACTGTCGACGAACCCGATGAGGAGAAGTCGCTGAAGCACATCAAGGAAACCCTGGTTGAAGTCAAGAAGGACTATAAAGAAGTAGAGAAGTTTCTCCGCAGCTATTACGGCGAGACGAAGTCGCCCGAGGTCACCTCGCCCTCCTCTAAATAGTGATTGACCAAGGGGAAGAGCTTGCACATGGAGAGCAGAGGCGGAACGAGCATGGTGAGGGATGTGCTTCTGAATATAGCACGCGACAGGTTGAGGTCCTACACACATATACACACAATCACTCTTCACTTCAGTCCACATACCCACGAACAGTCCCACTCTGCGAGAGGAATGGAGAACAAAAGCGACAGATAATTTCCACCACTACCTTTCAGTATCAAACCATTGGATTATTTAAATGATGTTCAGCGCTTACCAAACTTGTGGTTTTGTATGAGCCCATCATCCATAGCATGCAGGATTAGAGTTCTTCAGTTTTATCAGACATTGCTTCTCCTTGCCCAAGCCTTTGACTGTGAAGCCAGATGCGGGCAGGGAAAGGGCATATCTCGGGCAGCATGCAACGTTCGAACTTCTGTTTGCTAGACAGATAGAGGACAATCCTGAACCAACAGAATAGCAGCATTGAAAGTCAGGAATAATGAGTAATGTACAACATGTCATCCTGGCGTGCGGCCACCAGACAGTCACAAGCAGCTGTCTAACACATTCCTGCCCCGTACCACAGCCAGGTAGCCTCACCCGTCACCATTTTAATTATTTATATTCAGAGCATGCAAAGGCCCAGCGCAGACTTGCACGACATTCAGCCCCTGCACGAAGCAAACCACGCCAGCTTCGAGAGGTTTCCATCGTAGCCAGAAGAAGATTGGACGCCTTGTCTTCTCTTGGCTTCTTATCCTTTGGTAGTCTCGGAAACGATCCAATTGCCCATACAAACACACACCCGCATCCGCTGCACTCGGATAGATGTCGGAGTACCTACCCACCATCCGATCCGAGACCTTATCCTTACACTTCCACCGTCTCGTCTCCTCCTTCCACCCCTCGGTACCTAGCATTGACTGGACTGTCGCCGTCTGTGCAGAACGGAATATCAGGGAGGGAAGGACCTTGAGAGCGCGCGTAGCTTAGTCTAGGGGCGATGGTTACACAGCAGGCGGATGGGGCGTGGGACAGGCAATTCTGCACATTTGCGAATCAACTCAACCCAACCCTCTCTGGAAAGAATTTTTGGATTTGTTTCTGACGTTATTGGAGAATAGGTTGGGATATCGGATTTGGACAGCTCACCTCTAAAATGGACCTTGAGTGTAGTGCCTTTTACGCAAGGCAGCAGAATGGAAGTGCAGTAGGGGAAGAGGATGAGCAGCTGTCTAAAGTACAAGTACGAGTACAAGAACGGTACGGTATACCGGCATAGGTGCAGCCAAGCAAACCGACCCCCGGGTCGTGTGTGCTTGATCAAACGGTTTGCAGACTGGAGAGTTGGATTCTGAGTCTGGAGTCTGGGTTGATTCGGATGTTCGGTCGATTGAGTGGTTCGATACTCTGAGCATTCCTCACTAGAGCGTACTTCGCTAAGAGCACACTTATATCAGCGACTAAGCAGAAAAAGAAACAGACACAGACAGGTGAGGAAGTATCGTGTCAAGCAGCGCACCCACTAGCCAAGTCCACAGAGAAACGGACGGATACCTACAGCCCTGCAACCGCCGACACCCTCAATCGCTCGCCCATCGACAATCGACAACGGCCTTGCAGATGCATGCACCAAAACCAAACCCATTTCCGTGTCCTCGTTGCCAATCACAGCCCGTCCGAGCTCGCGGCCGATTGTCGTAGGCGACTCCCATGTAGACTTCGAGGCTGGGGGGTGATGGGATGGCAGCCAGGCGCTGTGCTACGTTCCTTTTTTTTTTTAACTACGATGGTTCCCGGTCCTCAAGAGCATTCATGCTTGCCTCATTCTGCTTCCCCCTTGGATATAAGTTCGTGTCTGCTTTTGCTTCACGTCTAGAGGGCTGTTATCTATACCTGCTACTGCACTAATTGATCTTCGGGATGCCGGCCGTTGGACCCCGCGTGTCAAAGGAGGAGTTTATGCAGGCGCTGGGGCTGAACTCGCATGATCCCCAGCATGAGCAGTACTATCGGGCTATGAGGGTATGTCTGCCGTTGCTTTCAGTTCTCCATATGTCTATGTGCAGATGCGATAATGTATTGTACAGTATGCTGAGTATGTACAGGATGAAGCCATCGTCGTATACAATCGTATGAACCAAGATACCTCGGATCTGCTGGACAGCGTCAGAAACGACCCCAACACCCGACCGCCCTTTTTCTGGCATCATATCCGTCCGGAGAGACAGCGATGGGGCATCATGGAGATCTCGCGGAACGCCGGGCCCCTGACGCGGCCGCTGTTCGAGCGCGGAAACACCACGGGCGAGTACGGTCCCAACTGGGTGGCTGGCTGGTTGTTGTACAGCGTGTTTCGGTCGAGGGATGTTCGCAATAACCGTAATCGGCGGAAGGGTGACGATCATGGTAGGTTGTCCAAGAAACAGGATCGAGCCAGTGCTGACAGCGACCAGGCCAGGATTCAAAACGGGATAATAAGACGGCACAATCGGACAGTGGACTGACAAAGAAGACGTATTATGACCCGGTGAGAAATGGATGATGCGGTGTGTTTCACGTTTAACGAGGCAACGGTGCTGGCTTGAGCTTTCCAACTTCCTTCCTTTTGTATAGACAACCCTTTCATCGCTGGTCAATTCTCATACAATCAATCAATCAATCAATCAATCAATCAATCAATCAATCAATCAATCATCGTCTCTGTCGTCCTTTGGCCGCTCTTCTTTCTGAGATCCATTCTTGAGTCTTCTCTCCTTCTTCAATGCCTCGGTAACGCGGTCGTCCTGCTCGTCCTTTCGTTCATCCCAATCAACGTCATATTCGGCAGCGATGTTTTTGATTTCCCTGCGTATCGCATTGGCTTCATCAATGAGTGATTCCCACACCTGAAGGTCAATCCCTCTCATTTGGTAGAGTTTCTTTTGCCGCGCATTGATTGTAAAATCAAGCGCTGAACGATAGGAGATCTCGCGGTTGTGATACAGGAACCAAAGGTAGCCGCCCATCAACGTGGACAAGCTGACCAGATAGGTCACCGGCTCCATCGTATCCCATCCCAAGTCCGTCTCAAACGTCAGTTTGTACACAATGTACCACCAAAAGGCGAGAATGCCAAACCCGCCAAGGGCCACCCGTTGAGCACCCCGGTGCGCTAGCGCGTCACACTCGTGCTTGATCTCTGCAAGACCCTGGATTCTGCTAGAGATTTTCCGCAGCCTCATCCGCAGGAAATACGTCCTCTCGTCGAAAGAGGGTACGGCAACGTGAATCTGTTCCAGCCCAGACGGTGCACCTTCGATCGTCACGATGAACTCCTTAGCCCGCGCGGCATCCCGGATGAAGTCTCCAATCTCGGTGGACTGCGACCACCGGATGAAGCGCTGCTCCTTGGCACCCTGTCCGGGCCCTGGCCGCCGCAGATAGCTGAACGTTTCGTCCACTTCCTGGAACTCTTCCCCTCGTTTTGCCACCGTCGCGTCATCCTTTCCTCCTTCGACACTGTGAATTTCAGCATCGGTACCTTCGTACATACCCCTTTTCGGCCTGATGGCGTCATGTTCAAGCTGGAGCGCGATGAACGATACAGCAGGTGGTTTCTTCTGACCGTTCTCGTCTTCTATTGGTGGCACCTCGGACTGGATTAGACGTTCTAGATGGGATAGGGGCTGCTGCGGGTGGATCAGTATGGCGATCTGCTCAATATCTTGAAATAGTCAGCCACAGCCAGAACCTCATATCGACGGAAACATACCTTTGCGATTGATGGTAGTCAATGGAATGAGAAGCTTAAACAACCTCGACGGCGTCGTCAACAGCTTGCCTGCAATTGTACCGCCCTTCGTCATCGCCTTCGCAACGTTCCCCCCAGACTCCGTATCTCGGCCCGACTCGTCCTTCTCAGTTCCATGCTGTTGCTGCACCTTTCTGACCTCAAGCCTCTCCAGAGGATCTGGCTGGGCCGTTTGAGGCTCCCGCTCATCTCTGTTTATGGCACTCAGTTGGAAACTCCGTCTACCTGTCTGTGTCACGCGACTCGATGTGGACACTCCTGTGTATCGGATTCGGAATAGTCTCGACGGCAGGGGCTGAGGTAATCGGTCAAGGATATTCAAACTATTATATTGGATCGTAGCACACTGACTTCCCAGCGTTGCAGACCGCAATGCAGCCGCAATGGGTGTGCGGCTAACAAGCGCCCGCATCGTAAATAGTGTCTCAGCTGTGAACCATGTGAAAGTAACCTGTACCTTTACCGAGAAAATCAACGAAATCTACGCAATTATTGGAAGAAAAGAATGACCATTGTTGCGAAGAGAAGTTTATCTCGATTCTCCCCTTTAATATCTTGTTGGAGGGACCAATTGCTGATAAACAGTGCCTTGGAACGTGGATGGATATACGTCATGATGCCTAAGCGGATAGGCAAACAGTGCAAACATAGCCCATATGGCTTCTAGATTCATGCCTCAGGTTTACGACCGTTTTGGAAGCATCAGTACAAGGATTCTTATTACCAGGCGATCAGGTGTTATCCTTAAGAAACTGCAATATTGCTTCGATTGAACGATAGTAGCAAAGAGACATCCACCATCAAGCAGTGCTGGCCACCACATGCAGAAAAGGAAAAGACAATGCTCAACACGAATTCCACTAACTCAATCAGCCAGCCGAATCATCGTCATCTATAAAGGGCAAACTACATATCATCGTTGCATGAAAATCACTCTGGCAAAAGTCGCTTCAATCTATTAGGATATTTCAAGTCATGTCATCAATCGTAACGTCGTAAGCTTGTTTTTCTTTTCCTTTTTCCTTCCCCTGTTTGAGTTCGGCGAATTTTCCAATCCATCACGGTTTGCCTTCGTCAGCTGAATTGCGTGGCATTATCGTGCCCGGCTGCTAAAGGTGAGTGTCCTGGCTGGGCCCAGAGTCCGTCGGTCGAGACTGAGCCGGCTCCCCTCATGGCTTTCTGGGCTACTCCCACCGCTTCTGCTCTCTCCGCTCGTCGAGGTATCCGCATCGTCGACGTAGCGGGTCTTCCGGCCCGTACCAATGGCCACCGGGGTCCCCTGTACGATACCCCCGTGGTCATGGCCCGCCGGATACATGCCGTCGTTGACGGAGAAGTTCCGACAAATCAAGTACGCCCGCATGGCCGCATTCTCACGGGCAAGGGTCTCGGATTCGCACACAGAATCTGTTTGGTATTCGCGGTTGTTGACGCGCACAATGCAGGAGTATCCGCCTGTACCTGCGTAGGACTCGTACAGAGGTTCTGGCCAGCGGCGGCGTCGACAAAGGCCTGTTTCTCATGGTTATTGGCCGCTCAAAACGGTAGCTCAGGGCTAATGTGCAGAGGATGGAAAGAAACACGCCGTGGTAGTCAGGGGTCAACGACAAATCAAAGTGATGAATGATAACGCGATTCAAGTGGTCCTCTAGTGAAACCCCATTGCAACTTGCAAGGTCCTTGAAGGAAAACGAGGCCAAATTCAAACAGTTCCAAGCCCAATCAAAGAACAGAGGTTTTGTGTATACAACAATCGGCAGGGCGCCGATAAGGGCAGATGGGGTGACATACTCGCAAGGTAGAGAATATAGTACATCGCGTATACAGATAAGCGGCCAATAAAATGTATGGGACGGAGCGGTATCGGTCTAGTATTCGCTGCCCTGGCTATGTTGACCCTGCGCGATCCTAGCAATCAATCCAGAGGCATTCAACAAGCGTCTTGGGAGGGTGTTTGTTGCTGCCCAATGCCCACGTTGTTCACACAAATGATGCGATTTGCTAGCAGGGAAGGATCAATAGTCCTCTGCAGCGAGTCAATCGGCGTTGAGAATGCTTAGTATAGATCAATGGGGACAAAGAGGGTCACCAAAACGTGAGCACATTGGAACTAGCGGCCGAAGAAAGACAGCAACATGGTATAGACGGCTTCACTGATGATAATGAACGATCGAAAAAGAAAAGAAGGACGACGACCATCGGGCTAGGTATAATCGGCTCAAATAAACAGGTGGGGCTCCAGAAGCACACTTCAAGTCTGATGTCCAAAGGCAGAAGGGGTCAGAGGTTTCCAAGCGAAATTAACAAATTTCAGGAATGCCCTTTGTTCCACCATATTGGCTGGACTAGGAAGGTCGAATGTCCATTTAATCATGATTGCACTAAGGATCTTTCCTGGGTGTGATTCTCCTTTGTTTTCTCTCAATTCCGAGTCGCGAGCCATATTGGACCGTTGATGCGTTGGCATGGCTTTCGACCAGTGATTAAGCTTGGGAAAATGGAGCTTCCTGGTCCATCCGCCACGGTGTTATTCGCCGCCGATCCATGCGGCAAAGATTGGCATGTCGCGCAGCATAACAATCTCCGAGCAAATCGTGGTCTCAATCTGCCATCGCTGCGCTGCTGCAGAATGAACGCCCAGCCATCTGAGCGGAGGCCATGTTTAATCGGATTTTTCTGGCGCCTTTTTCGCTTCGGCGGTGATGCACAGTCGTGCGAAGGGGATCCCATAAAACCCCGCAGCATAAGAAGAATGCAGGACATTTACTATTGTCCTCATGTTCAAGACATTGGATCGCATCAGCGCGTTTAATGAAAGGCGCTGTAGAAAACCACTAATGCGCTTTCGTTCGTAACGAGATGCATGCCACGCAGGACGGCAGGAATCCCAATTCTAGCTCGAACCTTGAAGAATGAGAGATAAAATGATTATATAACCGTTGCTACAGGGTGTTAGAAGTGGACTGAAGGCTTTTCTCCGCAAACACTAGACAGCAGGAGACTTGCAAACGCTGTAAAGTGGCGTAAAGCTGCGAAAGAACTCTGATCCCACGCCGCAACGGGGAGAGAAAGTCATGACGATTCGGCTAGTGTCCCGGGCAGGCCTCCTCTTCCAATATCGACCGCTTTCTCGGGATAATGCTCTCACTGTCTTTGGACTCAGAGCAGCCTCAAATTCCATCGGAACTAAGGAGGCGAGGAAAGGAGGGGCACACGAGCTCCAACCCCAGGGTGAAACGGGATGAGAGGAGCCGGTCTGCCTGTCTGATTGTGGTGGCCGTCATAATCTGCCATGCAGAATTAGACAAATGCAATAGGTTAGTCCTGGATTTTCGACGGACGATATTGGCCCAACCGTCTATGTTGTGACAGGCAGGCATCGGATGCAATGATGAGTTGGCAAGTTCTCACTAGGTGCGGTGGGGAACCCATGCCACTTTTCCTTGCACGAGCAATCGCTCCTGATGGCAAAGAGCAGCAGATAGAACCGGAGACGTTGATGAAGATTGCAGATGTCGTTGCATAGCATTCCACAGAAGTATACCTCATAAATCGGGAGGAAATCCTGATGGTACTAATTCCAGTACACACTAGTCAACTTCGATGCTGACGACCCACTTGTGGATGTAATGCAGATGACTGTCATGGAAGCCAAACTTACTTTCACTGTCGGTGCATGGCGCAAGTCTGCCTTCTTTCTCCCATTACATGCGCTCGGACGAGTCCTCAAGCAACGAATAGAGTATGAGCAATCTGACATGTCCGTAAATTCTTCACCCCAGACGCCGAGAATGGGAGCTAGGCCACTAGCAGAATGGCTCATGCAGTCTCATTACGTCGAAATGCTGCTAATGATGAAGAAAAATGATAAACTGGTAACTTGAGAGATGGAAAGGAGAAGGGGGCGGCTAAGCAAGCGGCAAGTCATGAGGAGGGAAACAGGCCTCGCTGCCTCAGTCGCAACATCCGCTTAAGAAACTAGTGGGTGATGGAAAAATGTCAAGGCGATGTATCAACCTCATGTTCCGACGACCTCGATATCCATACCAGCGATACTGTCGATGCTTCTCAACCTTCCGGGATGTCAAGCCCTAACTGATCACTGAAACCACCAAGTCCCCTGCCTCATGAATGTCGAGGTAGGAACTGTGCAGACTGCGACTGCACTCCGCAATCCTTAGCTTAGTCACCTTCTATCCCTTGCTTCTAGATCACCAGCTTCACTTCGGTGGTCAGCCACTCCTTGATGACGCTGAGCGCACGTTGGAATAGATAAATGTGCGACCCATGTGACATCGTAAGCATAGCCCACAGATTTGCTCTTAGTGTAACTTGAATTTGAACGAGTTACATGTACATCCAGACTGTCAGTGTGCAGTGCACACGCTGCTATCAGCTTCGTTTCTTCGCTTTCTCGACCCTTTCCAACACCTCAACCCTTACTCCTTACTTTTCTCGGCTAGTCTACAGGTCGAAAGACCGATTTTCGAACCAGACACGTATACCTTCGGCTGACTTGTGTGGAATGACAAAAATGGGATGGAAAGGAACGAGTCGGTCATTCTCAGCGAATACGCCAATGTCGGTTCCTTGATCGTCCGAGGCGAGGTTAGGATCGTGCTTCCAAGAGAATGCTGAGCTGAAGTCATCCTTCGAGCTCGCACTGGAGTCAGTACAGTAATGGTGATATTGCACCGTGCTGAGCCCGGAGAGGGCATAACATGTATGGTATGAATCCGGGTGTCTGTAGGCAGTCAAACTATGCGCATTATCTGCGAATGCTGGGGCTATGAATTAACATACTTTCCCGGTTTGTCTCGAAGGCCGCCAAGCTTGCATTGGCAACAAGAAAGGATATATCTTGTCAATCCCTCTCGACTGTAAAGATTGCCGACGGAAGCTCGCTTAGGTCCTGCCACTTGTTGAGTGCCATCTAGCGCAGACTGGACGAGGGGCCAGCAATTCCCAACCCAATGGCCGTAACACCCGTCCACCAATTTATTGGTTCTGCCGGAGAAACCTCCCTCGGGTGCATGTTGTCGAGCCGAGAGCCAGGGAAGGAGTGTTGCAACATTCATATATCTAATACACTCAGCAAGGGTAAAAAGTCGATCTGTGGATGCGGTTCCTTACCTTGGCACAACCACCTCAGGCCGACCAAGGAGACAAAGACAGGCCAAAGCACAAAAGGCATAAGCGCCATGCGCCTCGGTGCCCGGACTCCCGGATATACCACCTTCATAGGTCTGACCTGCAATTTCACTGTCAATACTGTCAATCACAATCAGGAAGCTCAGCAAAGGACGCCACTTACATCGCGAAAGATATTCAGGAAGGCCATCGGTGAATGTCTCCAAACCATTCTGCCGAGCTTCGGCTTCCGGGGGCAACGCTAGTGGCAAATCGAGGAGGGCATGGACTACCATTGCGCAGTAGGCGCCTCTGAGCTGGCGACTCAGTGAAATGCTACATATGCAGAGAGAGACTGATAGGGAAACGTTACCGCACGTCCTCTTCTCCACCCTCACAGACGGTAAAGCCGCCATCAGGCTGCTTCAACTTTCCGAGCCATTTCCACCTCAACAAGGTTAGCGATGACTTGCTGGTAGAGGAGGTGCCTCATAATAACTCACATTGCCGTTCGATCAATCAATTTGAATGCATCTTCGCCACCGACCATCGCGATAGACAGCACCGCAGCATAGCTCGATGCAACATGCGACATCTGGCCATGCCCTCCTCCAATCCCACCAGTGGGATTCTGCGCAGCCGTGAATGTGGAGATGACGCTGTCAATAAAGATTTTAGTCGAATTTCATGTCGGACATGGAGCACGACTACATAATATTAGGGACAAGCTTACCGTTCGCGGAATCGAGTCACATCTTCTCCTAGAAGGCATAGCCCTGCCAAGGCCCAGTAAACCATCCAAGGGCGACTGGCATCGAGGCCGACAAAGGAGGCCGGATAGTCCTCCAGTGAGTCGTAAAGATACGCAACGTGGTCTTCGCGTTGAAGAGCGGGAACCCCATACTGGTTAAAAGGACCTTTTTGACTGTTGTGGATCCCCTTCAGGAACGGCAGACATTTGTTGACTGTTTCGTTCTGAAGGTCAGTGGTCTCTGTGGAGAGCGAGTCGTGGATCACTGGCGGCTCCCTGAAGAGCGCTGGAATTCCGGGATGGACTTGGCTTTCTCCCATCTTTCCGCTCTGGGTGGACGATGAATGGTTGTGGGAACTGGTAGCCGCTGGGGAGCGACTATTGACCTGCAGGTTGGCGTTGAAGTTTCGACCTTTTGGTTTTCCTGCGGTCACGGATGGTCCTTGACTGGTCGAAGAGAAAAGGACTTTCCGACGGTGTTTCCCAGTCGCTGCAATAACAGGCATAGAATATCTAGGATAGTAATCAAGCTTCCGATCATACACTCATTTATACACAGGAGTAGAGCAATTTCCTTTGCGATGTTGCTATAACCTAATCATTGTTCCTTTCCCCGTCAATGGAAATCTTGCCATCGTCAGTTCATTGTTCTTCCGTCAAGTCAGGTGGTGGGCCTCGACCCCTCATGGCAAGCGGGTACAAGCAAATTTCCAAGCAAAAGAATTGACCTTTCTTGTTCGCCTCCAGCAAGAACAAATGGGATCAAGGTCGACGTCTCTTTGTTTTACATTTAGAAGACTAACTCAATCAACCTCAATTTGGAATAGTCATCCAGTCCATCCATCCGTTGCTTTGTTGCTCCCCAGTATCCCTAGCCGGGAAGATCCCGTCTTTTGCTTCCCGGCCTTAGGCTCCTGCCAATGCTGATCCCCGAATGGATATTCCTCAAGCCGTTCGAATTTCAAGCCCTTGACCTCTCAAGGTCAAGCTTTACAAACTACGACAACCTTTGATGCTATCATGCCTTTGTGAAGGAGTAGATAGGACCGGTGTGCTGTCTTTCTTGGCAGCGAAAGTCAGCCTTCAAATTACCAATGCACAAAGCCACTTAAGGAAAGTCTGTAAGAGGTCGTTCCAACGACATAATTGACGAGGACATCAAGAAATCAGTGAGAAAAGCGCCGCATTCCTGCCGAGGACAACGCGATCACTCTGTGTACTCCGTCAAGGCCTTCCTCTTAGCACGAACGCGCATTGGTTCTATTTCTCACCCAACCAACAACCTTTGAGGCTAGCATAAACAATAGCAGTCGGTTCGAAACTAGCATGCATCTACGCTGTGGACTATTTCTACCAAACTTTTCCCAGATGCCAGACAATAATAATGATCGAAAATTCTATTTCTCGGATTAATGATTCAAGAGAGTAATTACTAACGACGTCGCAACGTCATCAACAGGTCGTCCTCAGCAAGAGCAATACCATGAAACAAGAATGCAACTGATATGTTCCGCTTGCGGTTGCTGGCGTGGCGCGCTGCAAGTAAGATCCAACAGGATGTCGATGTCTATGAAGGGAGCGAATGGGAAACTCGTCTGCACTGTCAAAACCGAGCCAGTCAAGTACCTTTCTCTCTAATACTACCAATTAGTAATGACGGAAATACAGTAGCTCTGCCAAAGTCGATTTTCCAAAGACCCTTCTTGACGCCTTACTCACTTGGAACGCAGAAGACGTGCATGACCCCGTGCCGTCAAGCGTTGTCACTGACGCTGCGATCTTCCAGGTTTGTTGAGACTTCAAGGGTGCTCAGAAATATGATCTATCGCGATCTTGCTATGAAAGTTGTCGCGAATAGACCTCCTCATTGAACAATAGATCCCTGTCTGTGCAGAAACTCTATGGCTTGATCGTCCCTAAATTCTTGCTTGGCAAGGATGGAGCTGAGGGGCCTTTGGCAGATCAAAAACACACAAACATCTATCAAGGGAGTCCAGAGCTCCCTCTCGAACAATAATCATCACCGAATCTCGTCTTCTACCTAGCATCACCACAGGTGGCCTGATATGCTTGCTACATAGGTAGGCAATAATGGTCTCATTCTGACAAGCAGTATCCCAGTCTTGGTACGATAATGTCCGTATCATTACGTACCGTCAAAGATGGAGCTGCTGCACGGTAAGCCACCCTAGTTGCCAACAAATCCAACGCTTGGTCTGAAATCTGGTCATAATTGGTTGGCGGTCCAATCTATCACCAGCGATTGACAACTGGACCGCCTTAGTCGCATGTACGGCAGACTACACTCACATATGATCCATGATCGCCTCATAATCTCCATACAGATCGTAATGTATGGCCATGTACGGTACTGTATGGATTGTCAGCGGGGTCTGTCCGAGTATTGCCACGACCGTAGAAGTGAAAGACATTTGCCAATCACCATTGATAATCAAATAATAGCTTCTTCGAGTCAATCCGCTCAGCAAGGTAATCGGCTGGTAAAACAGTGACTAGTATCTTACCATTGGGACTGATCTTGTTGACGGTTTCCACTGATCTCCAGTTCCCGAGAGTCTCTCTGGGTCTCGTCCACGGAGCAGTCCGTAGCGCTACCGTGGTACTAAAGCATCTCAAAAGATGTCATATGGAAGTATTTACTCAGAGTATGCCGATGCTGACTTTTCAGACTGTCAGGACGTAAAGTCGAGGTAGATACAGGTTTCAGAAGCGCTGCACCAGATGCATCATACCTTAGATTCGAAGGTCTCTGATGACTCCTGTCAAATCACTGTACTGCCCACTTGCTGATTTCGAGATGATCATCATGATTATTCATGAGGTCGACCAACGTATCTATACGTTCTGTAAGCAAAGCGCACCTCTTCCGTCCGAATTCTCATTGTCTCAGACTTTCAGTCAATAAAATACCTGTCTTTTTCCCCGAAACAGCCTAGCTTGGTAACATCGTCAGAGTAGCCTGGGTCAATGAGGCTTTAGCAGGAAACCGGCGTGGCATTTACCTACCAACCTTTGTCCCCAATTTACATCCAATCACCTCACTCATCCTCGACGGGTGACCATCAGCAGAGACAACAACCCCACCCACGATAGCGATAACTCCTTCCCAGGATCCTCTAGCGCATCTCCGAAAGACGCAGCTTCCGCTCACCGCTGCTTTGTTCCCCACCGCCTCCGCTATGCCTGTGATTTCCCTCTTCTTCCTCCTCTCATACCCCCGGATTTTGGGCATTTTGCTCATCCGAGTGGCCTTTGTCCTCAGGCTTCTGCGACGAATTTACCTTCAACCTCTCTTGCTGTGATCACTTTTGTACCACCCTCACCTTGTCTGGCTTTCTTTGCTGAGGCTTTCCCTTTTTTTTCAATTATTACATTTATTTCCTTCTTGATCTCTCGTAAATAGGTGATTCTAACAATGTCCAATGTTGATATAACCAACGATGGCTTCATCGGGCTTGACTACGACTCGAGAAACTATATCCAGCCTCAGTCATGGCCCGTGGCGGTGGACCATCAGAGCTCCCATAGAACAGACGGATCGCGAGACATCTCTCCTCTGCAAACCAGCGGTCACGCTTATGAACAGTCGGTAGCTCAGGATCCCAACCTGATGGTCGACTGGCACTTCCAACAGCTGCAACCCCACCTTCAGTACACTCAGGAGGATCATTCGTCGGCTCAGCAATACACGACTTCAAGCTACGGAATGCCCATCCATTCGTCTCCTGTGGATGTCATGGCTCCGCCCCAGGGCCAGATAAGCTCCGGTCTTTTGGAAAGTTCTTATATGCCTCTGCCTGCGCCAGTCGACATGGTCCCATTTGGCTACCAGGATCTCCAAACTGAGCTGATGTCTTTCCCGGACGGCCTGCAAGATTTGTCATCTTACGCCGCACCACGCAACTTGATAGGCAGCAGCTCCCCCACGGACACTTACTTGGAAGTACGGTCTTTGTCGAGCAGCGATAACGGCTGGAGCGCCATCGAACCCCGTCACTCTCACGAATTCATGTTCCCCGATCAGGGCATCTTCATCAATCCCACGCAGACGTTGCACGACCGGAGCCTTTCTGAGTCATCGTACTCAACTTCCTACGGCAGTTTCGTTGACATCTCCAATCCAATCAACTCGCCCACCTCTGATCTTAACTTCGAGTCTGCCTTCAGCATGCCGAGACGGGTCTCCTACGATCACACTTCCCACGGCTCCCAATCCCCTACTGCAGTCAGCCCCGTAGCAATTGTGCGACCTATTCCTGTTCCCTCCAAGAAGTCCACTTCGCCCACCAGGTCCGCTGGATCACAGGCGTCGTCCTCATCGCCGCCCAGTAGGAAACCGTCGCGCAAAAGCCCAATCGCTGCGAAGACTGCGGAGACCAGGATCCGCAAGCAATCGCAAGCTGGAAAGCCCGAAGGCGAGAAACGTGTTGGAAAGCGAAAGGGCCCGCTCAAGCCGGATCAGAGAAAGCAAGCCAGCGAAATTCGCAAGTTGAGAGCATGCCTGCGCTGCAAATTCTTGAAAAAAACTGTAAGTTCTTCCAAACCGTAAATCTGCCAGCACTTGACTGACAGGGCAATCTTCGCAGTGTGATAAAGGCGAGCCCTGTGCCGGTTGCCAACCCTCGCATGCTAGATTATGGCAAGTTCCTTGCACAAGGATTGACATCAAGGAAATCGGGTATTTCATGAAGGATTGGAAAGCGGACTACGAGCGTCATATTACTCTCGGTTTTTCGGTTGGAAACATCAAGGGTTTCTCAGAGCACGAAAGGACCTTGTTCATCACCCATGGTTATGGTCAGATTCTTCCCATTAACGCCCGGGAGGTTTATGTTCGGGATGATCAATGCTTCAGTGTCGACTGGGTCGAATCGATGCACCGAGAACCCACTCAGCATGAGGTGGAGACCGCCAAACTATCTGCTGGTATGGAGGGTATCTCACATGCCATGTTGTCGGATTATCTCGACCGCCACATTGATGGCAATGGCACTTTTGAGAAGTTCGTCGACGACTACTTCGAGGGCACGCCATTCCTGACGCAGATGCTCAAGACTGCCTTCCGGTACTACTTCCGTACCAAGCTACCTGTGATCCGTAAAGCGTTGAAGCTCATCATCGCTTACAACCTGACTCTCCATGTCACAATGGTGGAGGGTATAGGTGAAGAAGATGGCTTCCTTGGCAAGATTGAGGACCCATCATCGAAGTTCAAGGGCAAGATCATGGCGCCTGTCATGATCAATTTCCAGATCAAGTGCGCCATGGCTAATATGTGGCGCGAGCTGCAGAAGGATGTTCTTGAAGAGCTTTCGAGTCTTTACTCAAGCGTGTATAGTGGAGAAAAACTAAAGAACTGGCCTACGATCTTCATTTTAGCATGCATTCTATTGGCAGTGTGGGAGGAAATGCAATTCGACTGCCATTACCGCACACCGGTGAGTCGCAATTTAAGCGCTGCTGTAAAAGGTTGAATTACTGACGTCTTGGAAGGATGCTGCCGCTGTGGACAAGTTCTGCAATGATATGGAGAATATCCCTGTCGGGGTCATCGTTGGCTTGTTCCAGGCAATTTCGCAGAAACTCCCCGCTTTCACTGATTGGGAAACACAAAAGCACCACCACTTGCTGTTTTCGAATCCCGATGTTTGCAACACCATGACCGAGGTTCGCGAACATGTAAAGCAATACGGTAAGCGGCCGTCTGTTTCGCCCTACCTGTTGCTGCGTATACTAACCTGCCCAAACAGAGAGCTATCTGAGAAGCCGCTCGAATTCGAAGTTCGACCGCAATGACTTTGATTGCTTGTCGAACAAATTCATTTCAAGACTTGTGGTCCGCGCAAATTAAGATGACGAGATATGAGGGTGAAAAACCACGACCTACATCGACTCAAATGTGTTACGGCTGGGCCAGCGCAATACAACGCGATATGAGACATGTCGACCTTGATGTTTACGAGATCCGCCTGAAGCGAAAGCGACTATCACTCTTTTCGCATTTGTGTCTTATTTTACGGCCGCTTTCCTGCTGTCTTGACCTTTTGTGGATTTTGATTGACAGCATTTCGTTCTTCCTTTTTTTTTCTTTGCTTCTTTCTCAGTGATATACGTTTCTCGCATAGTGTTTCGACAGCGATGATGAGTATCACGAACGTCATGATATTGTATGGGCACGAAAATGTCTGGCAGCAGAGATGATGAGCGCGCAACTGAGTTGCAAGACGTATGCTGGAGGCTAGTTCTCGCGTCATTTCACCGAGTGTTGCATCTTCCTTTTCATTAGCGAGTTTTGTTTTCATTATTGTGTTTTAACTATGAGGGGCATTATAATCGCTCCACGAAAAAACTAGGAGCTAAGCATTGTTTACTCTCCGATTGAACTTCGCTGGATACCAAGGCAGTTTGCAATCCATGAATATTGTATGTTCACCAGTTGGGGCTTTCCCTCTTTGCTCGAATAGACTCCGGGTTTGATGATTGTAGAGCCGTCTTCTCAAACAGCATTGGAATTGTCATTATGTACCACTAGGTCGAGGGTCATTCAAACAGTATTCTGTGAACAATGCCGCATACTAGAGGATACAGCTGCTTTTAATTACGTATTGCCTAAGGCCTAAAGGCCTCAGAGGTTCTACCGAAAGCGAAGATCACATGACGCCTGATGGCTCTCCCGCATTACCATTTGCGGTAGCCTGGGGCGGCCGTCTTTAGAAACACACTATCAGCTGAGGTGTCCGCTTTCCACCCCTCTCCGGCTGATAAGGCACGTCATCGGTGTATGACGCAGTGAGAAACTGAGAATTGAAGTAGCACAGAAAATCCGGCGGCTAAATGTGATAATTAACAGTATCAAGGAAATCATGGCTGGATCAAAGCTAGATATTTCGGAAGAAGAAATTTTCTCTGAGTCTGGGAAAGGCTATTCGGATCTTGGGCGTCGAGATGGTGTGAGACACAAACCAGTGGCGTCAGTGGCGGGTGTGAACGGAGACAGACTGTAGGAAACATCTTTCCGTCCGGACTAGTGATAGACTGAAAGTAGTGATATGTCTAGTCGCGAGGTTTTGCGGATAACGGGACTTTTCAGGAAAAGAGATTGAAAAGTTTTGAATAGGGGCAAAGGTTAAGGAGTTGATGAACCTCCGCCCGTTGGACTCCGTATCGACATATCCTCACTTCAGAGTACCTTAGGAGGTCGTAAAATAAGCTCCTTTGTCATCAAGAGAGAACCATTATTATTACTCAACTACTACCTACCTTAACAATGATACAAGGTACTTCAGGCGCCTTTTGAGTCATCGGGCCGAGCGTCGACCGGAAAGGCAGTTTTCTAGCAGTTTCCCCCAGGTATCTATAAAGAGTTTGGCCAGGCGCAGGCTATGAATGGCCAGAAGAACAGAACCCAGGGAAAGCGCCAGGCGGTGCCAGAAAAGTGTTCCTGCCGCTCCCTTCTTTCAAACTTTCCTTGCGTCACGTTATCCGACCTATCTCATCGCTGATTCACTCTCGCCGTTTCTGGTCCTGGCCTGGCCTGACTAAGGCGCTTCGCCTCCGCCTCCTCCCCTCACCTTATGAGTACTTAAACCTCTCCTCCTTCCATCTCTCGGCCTGCTCTTTCATCATTTCATCATCTTCCCTTTATCTCTCTCCCTCTGTGGTATTCCACTATTTCCTTACTATCTTCCTCCTACTGTTGAATACTCCATCAACATCCTTTTAACGAACAGACTGAAACACTCCTCACATCGTCTTCACCATGCAGATCTTCGTCAAGACTCTCACGGGCAAGACCATCACCTTGGAGGTCGAGTCCAGCGACACTATTGACAATGTCAAGTCGAAGATTCAGGATAAGGAGGGCATCCCTCCTGACCAGCAGCGCTTGATTTTCGCTGGCAAGCAGCTCGAGGATGGCCGCACTCTCTCCGACTATAACATTCAGAAGGAATCTACCCTGCACCTGGTTCTCCGTCTTCGTGGTGGCATGCAAATCTGTAAGTTACTTTGCCGTCTCCCGAATTTCGCCACCCTGGTGGCCACATTTTAGGATCGCTCGCTGACTCATTCACAACAGTCGTCAAGACCCTCACTGGCAAGACCATCACCCTCGAGGTGGAATCCAGCGATACCATTGATAATGTTAAGTCGAAGATCCAGGACAAGGAGGGTATCCCTCCCGACCAGCAGCGCCTGATTTTCGCTGGTAAGCAGCTGGAAGACGGCCGCACTTTGTCCGACTACAACATTCAGAAGGAATCAACTCTTCACCTGGTCCTTCGTCTGCGTGGTGGTATGCAGATTTTCGTGAAGACTCTCACCGGAAAGACTATCACATTAGAAGTCGAGTCTTCAGACACCATCGACAATGTCAAGAGCAAGATTCAGGATAAGGAGGGCATTCCCCCAGACCAGCAGCGTCTCATCTTTGCTGGAAAGCAACTTGAAGATGGCCGTACCTTGTCTGATTACAACATTCAAAAGGAATCCACACTGCATCTTGTCCTCCGTCTGCGTGGTGGTATGCAGATCTTCGTCAAGACACTCACCGGAAAGACCATTACACTGGAAGTCGAGTCGTCTGACACAATCGACAACGTGAAGAGCAAGATCCAAGACAAGGAGGGCATTCCCCCAGACCAGCAGCGTCTCATCTTCGCTGGTAAGCAGTTGGAAGATGGGAGGACCCTCTCCGATTACAACATTCAGAAGGAGAGCACGCTTCACCTGGTCCTGCGTCTGCGCGGTGGATGTTAAATGAGAGAAGGCTTTCTTTCACTGATTTGACGACATTTTACGGCTTGAATGGCCTGCATGGCGTTTGGATGGCTTATGGTTTCTATTGATAAGGCTACGCTGGGCATACCTTTCTTTTCTTATCGCCTCGATTACGGCGCATCACATACTCTATTTAAGAACCAATGGACCAGTTGATATCTCTGGTAACACTCAGTTCAGGCAAACTTGTAGATGCTTGTAGAAGTTGACAAATGATCCTTCGGCAACTCCATTCTCTTATTCCGTCGTGTGATCTGGTGAGTACGGAGGAGTTCCTTGTCAATGCTCTTCGCCACAACGCACGTGACTTCGGCGCCGACCAAGGAACCAAAAGCGGAGTGATAAGCAACAATATATCCTGGAGACTGAGGTAATTAATCAAGCTGCAATGGTATGAGCAACTCAGCAATGTGAATGAGCATCGGTCGGGATGCCCTCCTACTTTTATCATTTGGCTATTGAACTGTTTGCTCATCCTCAGTCCGGTCTTGGAGTCGCCTCTCAGAGTGTCGACCATCGATCACCTACGTCTCTATCATTTGACTCCGCATGTGAAGCTCTGTTCCCGTTTCAGAAGCGGGCGCGACAGTCGATATCAACAATTTATAACAGCTACCAGTCTCAAACTACTTCTTCTCAATGTACGTCTCATAGTCTAGAATTTGCAGAACTCTGAAATGCATCATGCAGCTCTAACGCTAAATCCAGCGGCGAGCGCGACAGCAGCCACGCATCTTACTGTACCCCACCTCTACACGGAATCACCCACGAGTGCGAGCGACTTTGAGAACGATCTCAGACTAGACAAGATATCAATCGAATGCGTTGATATGGTACCCGCGGAACACGAAAGCGCAACGGCTTCAAAACGGATTGGCAAGCGAGACGTCAAGGACAACCCGGTTGCGACCGGGATCGGCACCGATATTCTCGGCGGGCTACGCACCAAGGGGAAATACATACCACTTGACCAGCAGACGTCGGAGAGTATCTGGGGTATTGTGCACCTTTACCGAGATGCAGAGGAGACGCCGTTCCTCGTCGGCGAGGATTACCCCCTGGAACTGAAAGGATCGGCGGCGGCGGCCAGACAGCCGTATGATCAGCTCGGTGGGCGCCAGGATGCACCGGCCAAGGGCCACTCACCTTCTCTGCGCCAGGATGAGGATTGTACGACTCTGTGTATACTTGCGGTGCCGTCTTACATGTCCCCTTCTGACTTTCTGGGTTTCGTGGGCGAGGCGACAATGGATGAAGTGAGCCATTTCCGAATGATCAGGACGGCGAGGGCGAATCGGTATATGGTTCTGATGAAGTTTCGGAGCGGGAAGAAGGCGAAGGAGTGGCAGAAGGAGTGGAACGGTAAAGTCTTCAATAGCATGGAGGTGAGTGTCGTCGGCTTAGTGCTTGGTTCAGTCTCGCATGCTGATTCACTCGATAGCCGGAAACGTGCCATGTCGTTTTTGTGAAGACAGTTGAGATTCAAGCCGTCAATTCCGACTCTGATGTCTCAGCTTCCCAGCAGAGCGCACCTTCTGCTTCGCATGTTGCGACAAGCCCCCAGCGGACGGCCATATCCACCTCTGTTCAGCCGAACTCCATACCCACTGCCACCCTCTCGAGTAAGCCGCTTGCGCCTCCCACACCCGCGCTCATCGAGTTACCCACCTGCCCTGTCTGCTTGGAACGCATGGATGAAACGACGGGGCTGTTGACGATATTGTGTCAACATGTCTTTCATTGCACTTGTCTACAGAAGTGGAAAGGAAGCGGATGCCCGGTGTGTCGATATACGCAAGATGATTTCCGCAGGGGCAGTCAAGGGGCGGTCTACGGGGATGAGCCGGCAGAGTGCAGCGTCTGTCGTTCCGAGATCAACCTCTGGGTTTGCCTCATTTGTGGAAATGTCGGCTGCGGTCGCTATGATGGAGCGCACGCCTTCGCACACTACAAGGAAACCTCGCATGCGTTTGCAATGGACCTTGCCAGTCAACGTGTGTGGAGCTATGTTGGAGATGCGTATGTCCACCGGATCATCCAGAGCAAGACAGACGGCAAGCTGGTGGAACTACC